GAATACATCACAGGGCCATTTCTTTTAACTCTACTTCAAAGAAACATCCTTAAATCAAAAGCAACCTAAGACCCACTTCTAAAGTCATAAAAAATTTCAGCCTAAGAACTGAAGTGATATGTTGCCAATCCCAACAAATCTCTACCTTCTAAAGAACAAAATAAAATCACAGAAGATTTATTCAGAAGTTTCTTAATGTACATGGAGCTTTTATAAACTTTAGCTAAAACAAAATACCATTATAATATTCACCTTGAGATTCACATTGAGATTCTCAAAAGGTTTATGAGGTATTGCCAACCTAAAAGGAAATAAATTTCCCTGGGGAGTAACCCAGAAAAGCTTTATGGTTCAAGTTAGTAAAATCAGCCACATAATTCCTATACCAAGATTTATTGTTTCCTCAGAAGTCATAACTCCAATCACAGCAAGAAAGGACAACAGAAAGCTTTTATTATTACTGTAACTATCATACTTTAGAATACAAACAAATTCCTGTGCTTTCACATGGTGAAATTCTGGCTGCAAGCCATGTCTAATTTCTCTAGGACTTTGTTGATTTTGATAACAATTACTTGCCATGAAAGAAACAAACATAAGAGAAATGTTGAGACTATGCACACCTTGAACTAACATGCGCTGTTAGTAGAACCACATGCCTATGAGAAAATCCAGGAGTCCATAAATAGCGAAAACTTTTTGGTGCTCTTTTTACACTCAGAGCCCATGGAAATCGGGATTATAGTTAACTAGAGGTTTTATGGAAATTCAATGAGGTAAAATGAAAACAAGTTAGCCTTCAATACCTACTAACCCTTATAGTATTGTTGCAAAACATAATTCTGAGTGTAGAAGTTTTTAGTAACTTTGTTCAGATTAATCAAATTTTTCCAACATGGAATAAGCACATCATTGCACTCTTCCTCTTATTCCTATCCTTTCAGCTTTGCTCAACATCCCTACAACTCACAGGTAATGCCAGAACGCATAAGAATCCTCTGTGTTTTAAAGTGATTTCCCCACCTCACAAATCTGCTTACACAGTTACTATATCAATATGCATAAATGCAAATGAGTAAATGAAACTACTTAAAAGACTTAGGATTAACGTCTTAACATAAAAACACTACTTGAAAGTTTTGAATGCTTTCTGTGAGTGCTTAAATAACTGCAAGAAACTCAAATCAATTCTGCAGAAAACAATAATTCAAACATTGTTTGAATTAGTGGGTATACAAATATTTCTAAAGAAAATCAAAATCTGTATTTTCAAGATCATTTTATTATAAGAATGTCTTAGAAGTATCGCATGCAAGAGGAGATGTCTTTGTTTATTTAATTTTAACATTTAAAATTGCCCATCAGAAAAACTTGCCATTGTGGCAGGGAAATCCCAGACAGACATGTTGGAATACTTAAAAATTTGCTTTTTTCCAATATTGGGAATTTATTCCAATTGGAAATTTATACACTATCCAAAAATCTTTTTATTTCTTTTAGAAGGAGCAAGTTACACTTCTGAGACTAGCTTGTGTGTAATTGATAAACAAAGTTCTTACATTTCAAAAATCAGCATGATGATATCACAACATTAATTAAAGAATCTACAAAATTAACTTAATTCTTATTGTAGTTACTCTTTATTGTAGTCTGTTTTGCCACTTGATTTTTACTCTGCTACAAAGTAAGAAAATAGTCTATGGTTAAAAAGGGTAAGTTTCATCAGAATAACAATTAATGCTTGGAATTTAGTGTTTTGGCCTTCAACAAATAGCCAAAGCCATGATATTCCAAACACATACTAATGCTACTAACAATTAATCTGATCGGTGTTGTCTGAAGGAAAAAACAATGAAATTGCCAAATATGTATTTTCCTTTGTGAAAACAGGAAGTGTTCCTAAGAAATTTTTTTCATCAATGCATGATAAAAATGACTTGGAAGCAACTTACTGATGTAGTATTCTTGCACAATGCTCGTGTAACCGTATATGGCAGAATATCCAAAAATGATAATCATAACCACATCTCTGCTGTCCAGCTCCACGATGTGTGCTGAATGACCTTCCACAGCATACTGCTGGCCATGTACAAGCACAGCAGGCGTTCTGATACTCCACGTTTGACTGTGGATGTTGAAAATCCACAGCTCATCAGTAACATTGCCATTATTTGTTTCAATTTTGCCTCCGTACATGTAGATGTCTTCCTGTAAAAATTGGGAGAAAGGAGAGAACAGACAATGGATTACAAAAAAGATAACATCTGAGCTGCGTATTCCTGTGCTGCATAGAATTTTATAAACGGAACAATCTGATTTAGATCTTCACGTACAGCTACTGCTATCTTAAACAGCTCAATAACAGAGACTGGTTCCAGAAAACAATACTTAAGCTAAAGCAAAAGCGATGATAAGGAGAGCACTTCACTGAAGAATAAATGCAGCCATGAAAATGACATGAAAATGAATCTCAACCAGATTACTTCAAGCAGAAAAACTTTAATTACATGACTCTAATTCACACTGCAGCTATTAAAAACCTAAGCAGAAAGGGATTTACACTGTCTTCTTAAGGAATAACTCACAGAACTAAAACATAATTTACCATACACTCAAACTATATGAATTTCATTTGGCATATGCACAAGAGAGAACATTTTATCTTAATGACAACATAACTTAAGTCCTGAGAAACTTCACAATCATAAACAAATCAGCCCGAAGAAATGGGACAATGCGTGTACATCATCCCCTTGGGCACATGTACTAAAATCAAATCTCAATGGGAGATAGTTTGAGTTCTTCTAAAAGGATGCAAAAGAAATTTTCCAATCTTCATTAACCACATATCAAAACAGATGGAGTCGTTGCTCGAGATACGTAAAGAATTATTTACTTTAATATTGATTGAAAATGATTCTAGTAAATCTCTAACTTCAAACCAAGGCATACGGAGTCATAGAAGGAATTCCAGCTTGTTGGCTTCACTGACTGGCTCACTGTTCAAGGACAGTTTATCCCAGGTAGAAAAATACTGCTTCTGGTTCAAATAATGAGTTAGTGTTTGATAGGACACGTCAGGTCCACGTGCACTCAGCATCTCACCTGTACGGTGTTTGTACAGTAGGCAGTCATCTCCTGCACAATGCAGTATCATAAATGCTCTAGGGTCTAACCAATTTGATCAAGAAAAAAAAAAAGCTGCAGAATACACATTTAGCAAAGTTTTGCTTGGCACGGACTACTGTTCCTCGGGAGAAAAACAAAACAAAACTAAGATAAAGAAACCACATAATATAAGAAGTCTGAATGAACCGTAAGGAAGTTGAAAAACATGGCTGATCAGTAGATTGATAGTCTACTAAGACCAGCAAAGCAAAATACAATTTTTATTGTAATAAAATAAAATAAATGTAATAAAATGTAATTTTTATTATAATACAATGTTCCCTCATTTGATACATGTAAACGTATCTTAATTTGGAGCTTAGAGTTGTTCCTATGCAGTGCTACTCTGTGTTAGAGAATAGCCTACCCTGGTCTTTGAACAAAAGATGTACACAATCTTCAGTAGATATTAGTACTGGGATAATATCTGTACTAGATATACATCTGAAGTCATTATTTTCCTATGAAATAAAAATGTATTTCAAAGGCCTTGAGTAAAGATCTGTAAGAAGGCAATTGCTGAACACAACCAAAGGGATTGTTTCTATGGGATGTAAGCATTGACAGAGTCTACAGGCATCAAAGCATGCAAGCCAAAAGGCTGCCAAGACATCTTTCACAAAACCACAGTGAAAGGAGTCCTAACATAATAGTTATAGTTATCATTGGTGAGGAATTAAGACTTGCTTTGAATGCTGTTCTTGCAATACCTGCCTGGTGAGCTGCATTTTAGCTTATGCTTTTATTTCTTGAGAAATCTTCCTCTAGGTCTTTGCCTTGCACTGAGGAGCCTTACTTAGGAAGATACTCCCAAGTATCAGCTATTAGAAAGATTCAGTGGTGTTAGAACTTTCTTGTCAAATTCTCAAATGCCATGAAAGAGGGCAAGATCCAAAGGAATTGTTCCCCATACATCTAATGAATGTTTTTGGACTAACTCAGTAACTAAAACAGATGTTAAAGAAAAATATTTATATGACACTATGGGTTTGTTTTAAGTTCATGCCAGCCTTAGTTTTCCAAAATAAAAACAAAGAGTGCTAAAGTGCAGCTATTGACTCCAAACACTTCTACTGTTGGGTTGTTTGCCACAGATGTAAAAACAGGTTTCTAGGAGATTCAGCTTTGGGCCAACCAGACTTTCTTTATATGCATGCTTTGAGAAGGAGGCACATGCCCTATTGCCTTCAGGAATGCCACTTTTCTTCCTGTATCTAAGGAATAACTACAATTCCTATTTTGAATGTTGAATACAGATTTGTGCACTTTATGTAATATTAAAGGCCAAGAAAGTAACATGGTAACAGTACCAATTGAGTTTATTAGTTTATTTCAAAAATAGCGATAGGATTTGCATCTGAAAAATTAAGAGTCCCCATTATAATAAATTAAAATAAAGATCATCAATATCTCTCTAGTAAGAAATACACCAAGGCTGAAGGTAGCATTCTGTAGCCTATCAATCTATTACTCAGTGTCGACTTGGTAATAAAATCTGTCATAATTCTTGAGACTGCAAGGAGAAATCACTATGACAGAACAAGCTTTCTGATTTTCTTCCTTAATAGCTAAACCATCTTGAAAATAGAGATGCTGACCTCTAGCGTGCTATTCTGACTTTTAAAAATACATTTAGTTTCAAAGACCATCTTTCCACTTTTCATAAAGAAATACGCTATAGCATTTCACTGTATTAAAACATGAGGCATTTTGGCAGGGATGGAGTTAATTTTCTTCCTAGTAGCTAGTTCAGTGCTGTGTGAGAATAATGTTGATAACACACTGACGTTTTAGTTGCTGCTGAGCAGCGCTTACAACAAGTCAAGGTTGTTTGAACTCCTCGTGCTGCCTGGCCAGAGAGAAGCTGGGGTGTATAAGTTGCTGGGAGGTGACAAAGCTGACAGAGACAGGTCACAAAGATGTACCACTCCATATGGTGTGACATTCAACAATAAAACTGGGGGCACTGGATAGGAGGGCTGCTTCTGTTCGGGAATCGGTCAGCAAGTGGTAAGTAACTGTGTCGTACATCGCTTGCTTTGTGTACTCTTTTGTTGGTGGTGGTCTCCCTTATTTATTTATTTATTGATTTATTTATTTTCCCCCCCCTCTTCATTCAACTGTCCTTATCTCAACATGTAAGTTCTTGCACTTTTCAGTTTTTTCCCCAGTCTCACTGGGGGGGGAATGAACAGCTTTGTGGTACTCAGCTGCTTCTGGGTTAAACCATGACCAGGCTTATAGGAAATTTGTAGACTAGTGAAACATGAATGGTTTGAGCAAGTACTTTTCTTTAAATTATCCCAGAGAGCTCATTGTTGAAACCTGCCCATTCAGACTCACAAAGTAAAGCACAGAGGAAGGAAGGACCTAATTAAGGGCTTGCAGGTGAAATACAACAGTTTTTAAAAATGAAATACTTTCTGAGACAGAGCAAAAACGTAATATGCTAAAAAGGTGACCTGAAGAACCACATGAATTTCAGAACGACCCCTCAGACAGCTGGCAGTGTCCTCCTCACCGTTCTACTTAAATGATTCAACATACAGATAAAAGAACACGTCTGAGAGGAGCTATCTTTATAAATGACACAGCAGATCCTGTGCACAAAACTATTCAGAGTTCTACAGAGAAAAAAACAAGACGGTCATCAAAACTACTTTATCAATCCCAAAATCACATTTAAGCAAGCTTCACTCCAGGCTATATCTGAGATTAAGCAGCTCCTACTGCCGCTAATAAAAATTAAAAAATTAAAAATCACTTCGAAAGTTAGCTATGATCAATTCAATATGGAAAAAGAAAGGCTCACAGACCTAAGTCCATAGAACTACAGAATGAAAAATTTTACAAGCATATAAATAAAGGACAAAAGCAATCACATAAAGGCAAGCATTTTCTGAGAAGTCTAGAGAGGAAACAAGTGCAGCCCAAAGGTTGAAAGAAAAGGAGTCCATCCATAAACCAGCTATAAATCAAGGCATATGCTGCCATGGTTTGGCCTGGTTTCTATGACAAGGAGGTGAAGGGACCTATGGATCCATGCCCTGTGAAGGGAGCATGATGAGGAGGGGGCAGGAGGGAAGGGAGAAGTCGGGAGATTGGCCCAGACGAGGAAAACAGCAGCAATGAGCTAAAGGAAAAAAAAAACCTTAGTTTACTATTGAAGTATGCCAACAAGCCACAGAACTGCAGCATTAACTCTTTAACTCCCAGTGCATTCAATCACATCATGATGTGGAATACTGATTAAAAAAAAAAACAAGAAGCCATGAAGGTGAGGCCTTCTGTACACAAGATAATGACTTTCAAGAGGACAGGTACACAATTACTGCTCACCTTCAAGCACAGGAATGAAGTATACTATGAGAGTTTCTCCAAAAGTAATGCCTCCTATTTTATTTTGTCAGCCCACAACATCAGAAGTGAATGGTGGTGGTGTGGCAGTAGAGGTTGGACTTTTCCACCAATATTCCATTACATTTTGTTGTTGTGTGGCAGATAGTAGCAGAGGGGCAGCCTGACAGAACAGCATCTGACAAGTAAGTGCATATGAAGCAAAGGTGTATCACCGAATTTCTCCGTATGGAAAAAAAGGCATCCATCAACATTAATTGATGCTTGCAAACATTCATGGAGACCAAAGAGTGGATGTGAGCACAGCAAAGTGGTGGCAGGTTTCAGCAGTAGCGACAGGACCTATTGAACTAACACAGGTGAAGGCAACAGTTTCCTGGATCAGATCATTACTGGTGACAAGGTATCACCACTATCAAGGTATCAAGGTATCAAGCTAGACTCAAAACAGCTGTCCATCACGTGGAAATATATCAATTCCCCTTCAAAGAAGTTGCTGAAGATGCAGCCCTCATTGAGAAAATGATGCACACTATCATGGTGCTCTTTCTGGTTTTCCTGGAACCCAGACAAACCAGCTCTGAACACTACATCACAGCCTGGCTAAATTGAAAGATTAAATTTCCAGAATTGGGTCAGAGAAGAAGACAATCTTTTTCTTGCAACATCAAAAGGCCAGGCCCCATATTGGTTCAAAGACCGTGGAGCACATAATCAATATCATTTGGACTATCCTACCATTTCCACTGTATAGTTTGAATTTGGAGCCTTCTGACTTTCATCTTTTTGGGATGATGAAAGAGGAACAGCATGGACAACATTTTGCTAGAAATTATGCTCTCACAGCAGCTTTTAAGCAGCAGTTCACCCCCCCGCTGGTGACCTTGTTTGTTTCGTATTGGGTTTTTTGTTTGTTTTTACAAGTATGGCATACAGGCTGTTGTTCATGGCTGGTGGCAATGCATAGCTAATGGAAACGACCATTGAAAAATAGTGTTTTGTAGCTGAGAATTTGCTTCATCAAATAGTTTTATCATGCTCTATGTAGTTTAATGGACATAAATAGGAGGTATTACTTCCAGAGCAACCTACATACATACTTGTACTCAAACTAATATGGTATACTACATCAGTAATTAGATGAACAAGCAAATAAAGGTTTAAAAGAGCATATCCTCATGAAACTAGTGAGGAAAAAGTAAAAATAACCTGGACATGCTCCCCAGATGAGAGATATTAAAAATCGAACCCTTTACGCTGGAGGAACGCAAAGGCCAAGAAGCAGACTGTGCAAGAAACAGACAGCTGAACAGCAGGCAGATAAGCATGAAGACTTGACCTCCAGTACACTCCTGTTTTGAGTTTTTGATATCGCTTGTCAAAGCAACATCTTCAAATATACTGAGTAAAATCTTGTGCAATACAGAGTATTTACTCAAGAAATTAACCTGGGTCATTTTTAGATGTGTTACTTCGTGCTGCTAAAATCACCTAAGAAGTTACAGAAACCTCTGAAAATCTTGTAGTTTTTTTAAATGAAAATTGCATACAAATGTTACCCCGTGCAAAGCATATAAAAGTACATTATATGTTCAATGTGTAATTCAGGGTTTCTACCCAGTATGAAATCTGCAGGAAAGAAAATTTTCCACTGTAAGAGGAGCATGTATGCAGCTCACTTATTCATGACATTCCCACTTCCAGGCCATGACAGTTGGTTTCTTGGCAACTATTACAGGGTAAGTTAGTAAAATAGCAACAGAAGAGATTGTTAGTTTCAATTGCATTAAAACTTTGATAGATATGACCATGTTCTTAAAAAAAAAAATTCCCTACCACAAACAATTCAAAAAATAATTTATTTAGATGATAATGAACAAAATCCAATTTGTAAATGCAGAGAAAAATTTCTTAGGGAAGAAAAAAATCTTTGGAAAGTCAATTACTTTTTGTGACCTAAACACATGGCACAGCAAAAAAAATACAGGCTTCTAGTAAACAAATAGAAATCATCCCAACAGCCTGAACTTAATAGACAAAATACTTTAACAAGTCTGAAAAAGCATGAAAAATTTCCATGTACTTTTATCCTTGGAGTCATATCAAAGAAGAAAGTTAGATACCTATATGAAACCACTTACTTGCGTAAATGAATAAAGGCTCGAAATTCAATATAAGTCCTCTGCTTTAAGTGAATAACCATTAATTAATACTGCTATATGCACGTTCAAAGTTTCATAAGAACTGACAAGGTAATCTACAGAATTTTCCATAAGATAGGTAAATTATCCCCTGTTTTTAATAGGAGTAAAAACAAAAATTGCAAAAATGACCAGCAATCCAGTAAATAAGAATTCCTGCATGAATCTCCTTGTCAAAACCAGAAGTCCACAGCATTTATAAATAAGAATCTTGTGATTGCGCATCTCACATAGTTCTCAATTTCTTCTGAGATCTACAAATAAGAATTTAAAAGCAGGATGTTCAGAGGATGTAATTGAAAGCCATAAAATAATTTTAAAAATTAATTTGGTGGTACAACCCATTAACAAGTATTAATTGAATGGTTAGAACAGACTTCTATATTCCTAGTGCTTTTCCAAATCATACTACAATTACCTACATGAGTAAGCTTATACAAGAACAATAAACTAACTGATGAAAGAGTGTCTCACTCACATTAAGGGAGAAAAAGATTTTGCTCTTGTTTTGTTAACTCTAGATTTTGATTAGACTAATAAAAATATCAGAAGAGACACGCACACTCAGCATCAATACCAATTAATTTGGATATCAAAACAATTAGCCTTTTTAAATAAAGCTTTAAAATCAGAAGTAACATTTATAGTACACAAACGAGTCAAATTGAGTTGGAGTACATATAAAATGGCCCACGTATCAGGAAATATCTTTACAATTACTACTGTGCCAGCCTGTTTGATTGCCAAACCTAAAAGAATCTAATTTCAGTGCTCAGTTAACCTTCCACTGCCATGGGACTAGAAGATACAGTTTCATTATAAGCTCAGACTCCATGAAGGAGTCTGACCTCCTCCAGAAGGTCATGCCCAGCAGTGACCATGCACTCTCTCTCTATGCAACTCCCACCATACTTTATTCCAGCCATCTAGTAGTTTTCAAGTTGCCATCTATCTAGTTGTGGTTTGACAAAGCTGTATGTGCCTGCTTCAAAAACTTCACTAACCATTATCTCCAGTCTCTTCATAATCCTTTTTCTTCTGTGATTCCTTTCAAAATATGTTGACATTTTTGAAGTATCAAGATGCTGAAACTACACAGAATCCCTCAGATATGGGAGAACCAATTGCTAACAGAGATAGGTAGTGCTTGTCCAAAAACCAGCCTGAAGTGGCAATGAAGGCAACACTATCTAACAATTTAGCTGGTCTAAAAGCAAGAACACATTTTATGCATTTATGGTGGAGAGAGTATAAAAGTCTTAGTCACTTGTTATAACTATACATCAGTGGGAGTCTTCTGATCACTTTTCTTCAGAGTAAAGAAGTACAGTACTTCAATTTTAACTAAAGCAGCTTTCTAAGGGAAATGGCACGGTAACTTATTTCATTCTCCACAGAGTCAATTATATAGCCTCAATTTAGCTTGCACCACAGTCAGGCAATACTAGCTCT